GTGATGGGAACTGGCTGCAACTGACAAACTGTTTGAATGCTGAACTGACAACCTGATCTTAATTGTTAATTATTAGAGAATTAACAAAAACATTTTTTTCCAGGAACACTGGCAGCCAAGGACACACCCTGGAACCACATCCCCTCCCTTTCTTCCTAAGCCAAGTTCTTCCTCACTGTGGAAATATCAAGGTCTCTTGTTCTGGCTAGCAGCTTCCCACCTTAACCCTTCTCTGTCTTGATAATGCTCGGTAAATGTTGTAAAAAATTGACTTCAGTATGAAAGTCATAGTTACAATTTATTTGGGAAGATTTATGCTTTTGTTTCCACAGGAAAAGAAAAATTTACATGGATTTTGGTCATTTGAGTTCAATGGGTTACAAACATTTGCCATCATTTAAGACAATTGGTTACAAATTATTATTGTTTCAAAGAAAAAAAAAGGCATTACATTTCAAGTAGAGGATAGCACCATGAATTAAGTACAAAAAAAAATAATATATTTTCAGATGTAATGTTGCCAGGAGCCTTCCTCCAGGTTGTATAGACCCTGCAGAGGATTTAATGAGTCAGCATGGGAAGGAAGTGAGCCAGGCCATGGTGGTTGGGAGAATCTTAGCCTGACTAACTAGTGGCCACAGTGTTTCTTTCTTTATACAGAAATTAGTAAGCAAGGATACATTCATGATGTTCCAAAACACAGATCACGTCATTTTTTTGTTTTGGACATGTGTTTCACTTCCTTTTGCTTGTCTTTTAGTCATCATTAATAAACTATGACAGAACAGAGTTATCATTTCCAATCATTTTCCCTCAGGTTTTGACATCATTAATAAACAAAGTATCAGTCTTACTCATTAACACCATAAGGCAGTGTTTGAGAATTTGAGGCATATGACAGCCTGTTCTCAGGCTGGTAGCTTTGACTGCTTCAAGGGCATTAGACCAAAACAAAATCTTCAACCATCCTGGCCATTTTGCCATGTCCCAAGCAGTGTATCATTAACTGTTAGTGGTCAGAGTGCCCAGGAGAAATCCTCAGGCCAAAGCTGCTGCAAAGCTTTTATTATTCAAATTCTGCCATAATACAATGTTCATATTTATATCTTTATACAATCTGTCTATATGTCTAATCCTAGCATTCTGTTGTTCCTTAGTCATATGACATTATAGTGGCTCTGCATGAGCTAACTTTTCTAAGAGAGTGAAGTCCTGACACCTCATATTTTTGATCATCTTTCCACTCCATACTTTGCTCATCAATATGCCTCTATGTAGGGCAGAGTTCTACGCCACATAATGGGCTGAGTGTATAGTGGAAAGAGGCTTGTAATCTGAACTGTGTCAAACTCCTCTAGCCCACCAAATCTTGTTGACCTTTTTGAGTTTACTTTGTTCTGAATATCTTATTACCATATAAGAAAAGGAACAGATGTCTCATGAATGTATCAGAGCCCCATGAAGAGACCTCTGGCTTCTTTATATGTCATAACCTTCAAGGCATAAGGAAGACCCTCAAGTAGATAAGGATACTTCCCTAAAAGCAGGGGGAATAATATGTTCAGGACTCTCCTGGGGAAGCTTAGAAGCAGGATTCCTGGGCGAAGGTATAAAATGGTTCATAAGAAATATTTCATCAGTCTAATATCCTCAAATTGTACAAATGATAAAAATCTCTCAAGTATGCAACATGTGGAGATGAAAATCAAAGGTGGCATGGCAGCCATCATGGGGCTCAGCTTTGCTGGATCTTTTGTCAAGCAGCTGTGCTGGCTTTATGATTTCTGCCATTCCATCTAGATATGGCTTGCCATAATGTTTTTAAAAGAATATCAAGGTTTGAGATATGAGGATCAAAGTTTGATGTTTTGATTTCAGTAAGCAGTTTAAGATATAAAAATATGAAGCCTTATGTATGTCATCAGGGTATGGATAAGTGCTGTCTTGGGTCCGAGGAAGTAGTTTGAGGTACAAAAATGTGAAACTTTAAAGTTTAAGTAAGTCATGAGGTTTGAGTATAAGTAAAGTATATGTTGGGTCTAAGATGGAAAGGTTTTAGGTATAGATATACAAACAAAATGTTTTGGGAAGAAGGAAAAAAAACTTAAGGCATGTGAAATGCAGGTTATTGGGATATGGAAAAGCAAGTTATGAAGGGATGAGAATGAAAAGAAAGTGATTTGAGATGTATAAAAGAATGAAACAGCTGGGCAGTGGTGGCGCATGCCTGTAATCCCAGCACTCGAGAGGCAGAGGCAGGTGGATCTCGGTGAGTTCGAGACCAGCCTGGTTTACAGAGCTAGTCTAGGACAGGCTCCAAAGCTACAAAGAAACTCTGTCTCAAAAAACCAAAAAAAAAAAAAAAAAAAAAAAGAATGAAACATGTACAATTAAAAGCTAAGGAATTCTTTCTAGAGCCTCCCTTTCTCCAAAGGATATAAACCTGAACACAAATTTTCCATGTTTACAACCCATAGAGTCTATAAAACTGATTTAAATTTGGCTGGAGGCCCTAACAAATTAAACAAACACAACAGCCAACACAACTACTCAATAACTTGAGATTATATCTTCCAATGAAGTAGAAGTCTCAGTCATTCATAACAGTTGACCCACCCCAGGCTGCCAACTACTCCAACATGGACAAGTAAAGCAAAAGCAGAGCTGGCACCAATCAAGCTGTGTGTCCATGCACAGCTCCCTATTATCTGTAGAAACCGTGGAATGACTCTGATGGGAGCTGTAACTCTGAGCTTTCTCTGGTTCCGGATATTATCCATCATGGATGTTTGTTTTTTTGTTTGTTTGTTTGTTGTTGTTTTTGTTTTTTTGCTTAAATACATGCTAGTAATTTTCATTTCTCTTATAATTTAACAAGACAAAGAGTATTTAATGCAAACAG